TGTCTCTGGTTGTGCGCGTTTCTGGTTGTGTGTGTCTCTGGTTGTGTGTCTCCAGTTGTGTGTGTCTCTGGTTGTGTGTGTCTCTGGTTGTGTGCGTCTCTGGTTGTGTGCGTCTCTGGTTGTGTGTGTCTCTGGTTGTGTGTGTCTCTGGTTGTGTGCGTCTCTGGTCGTGTGCGTCTCTGGTCGTGTGTTTCTCTGGTTGTGTGTCTCTGGTTGTGTGTGTCTCTGGTTGTGTGTGTCTCTGGTTGTGTGCGTTTCTGGTTGTGTGTGTCTCTGGTTGTGTGTCTCCAGTTGTGTGTGTCTCTGGTTGTGTGTGTCTCTGGTTGTGTGCGTCTCTGGTTGTGTGCGTCTCTGGTTGTGTGTGTCTCTGGTTGTGTGCGTCTCTGGTCGTGTGCGTCTCTGGTCGTGTGTTTCTCTGGTTGTGTGTCTCTGGTTGTGTGTGTCTCTGGTTGTGTGTGTCTCTGATCGTGTGCGTCTCTGGTCGTGTGTGTCTCTGGTCGTGTGCGTCTCTGGTCGTGTGTGTCTCTGGTTGTGTGTGTCTCTGGTTGTGTGTCTCTCTGGTTGTGTGCGTCTCTGGTCGTGTGCGTCTCTGGTCGTGTGCGTCTCTGGTCGTGTGTTTCTCTGGTCGTGTGTCTCTGGTTGTGTGTGTCTCTGGTTGTGTGTGTCTCTGGTCGTGTGTGTCTCTGGTTGTGTGTGTCTGGTTGTGTGTCTCTGGTTGTGTGTGTCTCTGGTTGTGTGTGTCTCTGGTTGTGTGCGTCTCTGGTTGTGTGTCTCTGGTTGTGTGTGTCTCTGGTTGTGTGTCTCTGGTTGTGTGTGTCTCTGGTTGTGTGTGTCTCTGGTTGTGTGTCTCTGGTTGTGTGTGTCTCCTGTTGTGTGTCTCTGGTTGCGTGTCTCTGGTTGTGTGTGTCTCTGGTTGTGTGTGCGTGGCGTCTCTCTTAATCACCTGCAGTCCTCCACAGCGTTCGTTAACTCTGTCTTCCTGAGATGACATCGTTCTAATGGACTCATTCATTACAGACTCTTTCTCTGATTTTAAGGAGTTATTTTTTCTCATCAGGAGCTGGATTCTTGCAGCCGGAGCCCAGGGTTGTGTGGCGTTACTCAAAACAGCTGCTCAGAGCTCGGTCTGGAAGAAACAGAGACGAGAGAGAGAGAGAAGTCTGAACCAGGACGTTAGAGTTTTCACACCCAGAGAAATATAAAATCTGACTCGTATTTTGGAAGTTCTGTCTTGATAAAAAATGTTGAGAATTCTTGCTTCTTTGTTATGCTAAAGCTAGTGATTTTATACTAACTTCTTTATTATGCTAAAGCTAGAGATTTTATACTTGCTTCTTTATTATGCTAAAGCTAGAGATTTTATGCTAGCTTCTTTATTATGCTAAAGCTGGAGATATTATACGTACTTCTCTATTACGCTAAAGTTAGAGATTTTATACTTACATGTTAATTGGCAAAAACACATTTCTAAATTTCTAAAGTCAATTTGAAAGAATTTGGTGAAACTTGAAGTGTAAAATATATCTAACTTTTTATAATTGTACTTTATAAAGAGCCTTTCAAATGTCTTTCTATTGTTATTACTTACTGTTTTTGCAAATTATCCATTCAAAGTTGCGTCTGGATTGCTCATCTCGAGTACGCCCCCTTCAGGCCAATCTGTGAACATACAGACTACAAACATTTTGTTCTAGTTTGTATATTTTTTAAAGCAGAAACTAAAACACCTGGTTCTTAATTAGCAGCAGCAAAGTATTTCATGACGACGCTTCATCCAAGACCCATCGGAGCTGTGCAGAAGTGTGCCTGCTCCTGCTGATCCTCCTGCTGATCCTCCTTCTGCTTCTCCTGCTTCTGCTCCTGTTACTGCTCTTCCTGATGCTCCTCCTGCTATGCTCCTGCTACTGCTCTTCCTGCTGCTCCTCCTGCTGCTTCTCCTGCCTCTGCTCCTGTTACTGCTCTTCCTGCTGCTCCTCCTGCTGCTGCTCCTACTTCTGCTCCTGCTGCTGCTGCTCCTCCTGCTGCTGCTCCTCCTGGTCCTGCTCCTACTGCTACTCCTGCTACTGCTCCTGCTGTTCTCCTGCTTCTGCGCCTGCTACTGCTCCTCCTGATGCTGCTGCTGCTCCTCCTCCTCCTGCTGCTCCTGCGTCATTCTAATTGGAGGCCGATCCCATATTTTTTGTGTTTAAAGAGCAGCTGATCGGAGAATCGGGTGAAGTTGTTGGTTCTTCAGAGTTTGGACGATGTCGTGGTGTGGACTTTTACCGGGATTTTCTTCGGATATTTGTTCTTTGATAAAATATTGCACTTTAGGTTTCCTGAAGTAAAAGATTACGGAGTGCTCTCAGTTTTGATGACCTGTTATGAACTGTTTTTCTAGGCTCCTGTAGAGGCCCCTGAAGGTCTATGGTGGTGTATTTGAAGTCCAATGTGTACTGTGCTGTTTGCAGATGTCTGTGGTGTGAAACATGTGAACCTGTGGGCCACGACCCATTACTCCTGCAGGAAACAAGAAGGAGGATCGCATCTTGATTCTGATTCTGATCTTGAGCCTCTGTGATTTGCCGCTGTCTCCCCGAGTGTATTTAAACCGTGTGCTTTTCTCCACTTGTTGCCCGTCCATATTACTTTGGTATTGATTTCTTCTCCAAGTGGTTTCAGGCCCTGTTTACACAAGAATGATACAGTTGAGTCTTGGATTGGCCGTTCGTTCCCATGACAACAGGGGGGGTGAAAACGTAAGCTTTGAGAAACGGCCTCCAGAGTAAAACTAAAACTCGCTGCAACGACCCCATCACTGCCCCTCGAAGTCGTGACACGCGCAGTAGAAAACAAACACTTCAGCAGTTATTTGCATAATTTAGTCTCTTAAAACCGAACCTTCATGTGATACAGTTGTTTGTTGGATCGAAACCACGCAATTCTGCACTTTCCATTTTCGCTGCTTCTGTCAAATGCAGAATGGTGTCGGTTCTTTTCCGGTTTTGCGGAGGCCTGAAGAGGGTGTTTTTGAGATCTGTGGATGTCGCAATGTAAAGTTCCGCCTACTACAGGACGACACAGCGGCTGAGTGGTTAGCGCTGGGTTCGAATCCCGGTCAGAACAGATAAGATAAGATAGACTTTATAGATCTCACACAGGAGAAATTTAGAGAACAGGGCCTTTCTGAGTGGAGTTTGTATGTTCTCCCCGTGTCTGTGTAGGTCAGGGGTGCTCAATACGTCGATCGCGATCTACCAGTCGATCGCAAAGGTAGTATTGGTAGATCGCATTAAATAAATAAAAAATTACACATTCTAAACGAATATATACAAAAAACTCCGGGCAAAGTGGAGATTTTTGAAAACTCCGTTAATGCATTTGTGTGTAGACAGCGATAACCAGAGTTTTGCGTTCTCGCACGCCACAGTACCCCCCTAAATTCTTCTGATCACTGAAGCATGGATCATACTACCTTAAAAACTGTTCGCTGTGAGATACTCGCAGCAGCGAACATCCTCCACATCAGAGAGCAGCAAAGTGATCGCGGGGACTCACGCTCGAAAACAACCAAACCAGGACTAAACCAGGACTAAACCAGGACTAAATCAGGGCTGAGGACGGGGTCAGTGCTTGTAAACATATGTCTTTACTCTGAGTGTCTTCTATGACTGTAAAAGTGCCGTTACCGGCGTCTGCATCAAAGCTCCGCCCACTTCTGTGTTTTTCCCCAACGCAGGACAGGACGTAAGAGACGCACATGTTTGGAATGTTACGAATGTGATTGATAACGCAGATGTGTGGATGCAAATTATTTTATAAACTGAGGAGGGGAAATATTTGGATTTAAAAAAACCAGGCATGGCACATGGACATGGCACCACAGTCAAATGACATCTGTGTTTTACTCAGTAATGTTTTACTGACACTTAGGTGACTGCACATGCGCAAACAACCGCTCAGTGCAGGAAAGCTAAACCACGACAAACTTGTCAGCGAGTTACCACCAATTTTACGGACTATGCCTCCCTGGCCGATTCAATTCAGTGCAAGTCATAAGAGTAAACTCGGGTAATGACAAAAAATGTACATCGGTAATTGTGTTGTGTTGTGCTATATTGGCTCATGCGGTTTTGCATGTACATAAACATACATTGTAGATATAAAGAATATTTTTTGAAATATATGATTTGCATTTTTGTAGTAGGTAGATCATTTTGACTTGATCCTTTTATAAGTAGCTCGCATGCTGAAAAAGTGTGAGCACCCCTGGTGTAGGTGTCCTCTGGTTTCCTCTACCACTAAAAAACATGCACGATAGTTATGAATGCATTGAGTGAGTGAATGGAGGGTGTTTGGTCGGAGGCTTTGATGGTCCGGTGTGTTCGGCGTCCCGCTTCAGTCAGCACTGTCTGGAGAGAACGGAACAATATCTGAACTCTGAACCTTGTAAAGTGCTTAGTGTGACCTAGCTTTGTGAAGTCCTCCGAGATAACAACCGTTTTGATTTTGGGCAATACACAAATACCCTTCATGGAATTGTATTGAATTGCACAGAGAGGTGAAAATGAGAATGCTAATAATATATAACTCAAACTTTCTGCATCTGACCCTGAACCTGTGACTCTGCTCATGAATGGACCAATAGGAAGCGAGGTCCTGTCCCTTTGTCGCCTCCTATTCATCTGCAGCAGGGACAAGGCCTCTTTCATCCGCCTCAAAGCCACCGGGCAACGATGTTCTACCCCTGATATGTGCTCGGTTCAAAGGTCAGGCGTGTGGGAGGACCTGAAAGGGAACAGGAAGTGTTGGGGGCAGAAAATCAAGGCATTAAGAATGAAAAGTGCCTAAAAAGAATTTCAACTCTGAGGTTGAACTTGAAGTTATAGTAATAAAAAAGCCTTTTTCTTGAGCTCAAACAACCTGCACTGCTGTGATTGGTCCTCTGGTGTTTCAGTATTGCTTTATTAATGAATGAATACTTTGACATTGCAACAATCAAAATAACACATAAACCTTCCATGCACAACATTAACACTGTAAGTCTGACGAAGGGCCTCAGCCCGAAACGTTACTATTTTGTGTGGTATGTAAATAAATTACACTGTTTTTGGGAGCTACATAGCTGTGCGGATTATTTTTCACTGTTCTCAACATTAACACTTTAACAACACATGACAGACGAATGGCCAAAAACTGAACTGTATTGTCTGCATGTTAACAGTACATTTCTGGGCTGCAATACAAGAGGACTGTAACTTAAAAGAATTAAGAGATAAACTTTTTGTGAATTAGAGAAATATTAAGCATGGCCCAAATATTAAATGTACCCATCTTATTGTTTCATTATCACGCCCTGTGGTGGCAGTCGTCATGGATTCTAGAAGTTTCACAGAATTTGGTTGTTTATTTTACTGACAGATATTCAAATTACCAGGACATGAACAAACAGGACACACATCGTACCTCACAAAATGGTCAGAGAAATGAATGATTTTAGCCTTTTGATGTAGAGATGAAGAAATTATGTTCGTCTGAGCGGCACTTCTTGAGGTTTATCATGAGTTAACCCTTTAATGTTCAGTTCAGTTCTTTCCCTGGGAGGAGGCCCCGGGGAAGACCCAGGACACGCTGGCTTCAGCCGGCCTGGGAACGCCTTGGGGTCCCCCTGGACGAGCTGGAGGAAGTGTGTGTGGATAGGGAAGTTTGGGCGTCTCTGCTTAGACTGCTGCTCCCGCGACCCGGCACCGGATGAAGGGGAAGAACATGGAGTGGAATGGAATGGAATCTTTACTCCTTGAAGAAAGCAATGTGTTCTTTTATTTTTTGGATTATCTGAGATGTAGGACTCAAATCATTTGTTTTTGAATTTTGTGTTTTTATTCTTTTGAACCCCTACTTTTTAAATAAAAGGCCTTTCTGATTGAATCAAAGTGCTAAACAAAACAAGATCAAGGCAATCACACAAGGCACATATATAACAAATAATCACAGTACATTAAAAAGATCAAAGATGAAAGGTACTATAACTTTTTATTTTTTCACCTTTATTTAGAGAACACGGCCTATTGTAACCTGGATATGAACAATGTCAGAGAAGAAGCCTGTCTCACATTTCCATATTTTAGCTGCAAGAATCAGAAACGTTGCCTCCCTTTTTAAAGTTCGGCCACAGATTCCCAGCAGGAGGCTAGTCCCTGTGCTCCTCAGAGTCCCAGCAGGAGGCCAGTCCCTGTGTTCCTCAGAGCCCCAGCAGGAGGCCAGTCCCCTGTGCTCCTCAGAGTCCCAGCAGGAGGCCAGTCCCTCTGCTCCACAAAGATGTAGAGACTCAACATGTGATCAAATGTTTGAGGAAAACATTAAAAGGAAAAGATAAAATCACCATTAAATGTAGTGACCCTTTTGACAACTGTCCTGCGTTCAACAGTAGGCACCGGGACAAAACATTAAATCTGACACAATCCTTTCTGAAGAGCCTCGACGCATAAATTATGGAACATGTTTCCATCCCATGCTACATTTCCCATTGCCGTTTTCCCTCCAGCTCCAGGAGTTTCACTGCCAAGCCACTAAAGCCATGGTTTCCCATCATAACCCCATGTATGCCCATTTAGTTCCATATGACTTGCTTGGCACACACACACACACACGCACACACACACGCACGCACACACACACACGCACGCACACACACACACACACGGTCATTATAGTACATATTTACTCTGTCGGGGCACACGGCTGCAGGGGCCTGATTACACCCTCACTGTTGGACTTAGGTGTTTTCCCAGTTTTCCCAGTCCTGGCAGAGGGGTGGGTAGTCCAACGGTGGCGACAGCTAAAAGAGCCTTTGCCACCACTCCTTCTGGTGGCACCACTGACTCCGGGGCAGACTGGTGCAGGACGATCACATGTATTGGACTGGACGGCTGGAATTACACACAGAGAGCAGCACAAACTCAGGCTGGAAGTGTTGGATGTTGTGTTTCCGGCTGTGGAACTGTTTCTTAACGCCATTTGTGACGCCGTGGTCGCCGCTGCTGGTTCTGACAACATTTTACCGGCGGCACCGTGGCGTAGTGGTTAGCGCACTGTAATAAGTTTCTGGGTTCGAGTCCACCTCCAGGCCATTCAGTGTGGAATTTTCATGTTCTCCCTGTGTCTGCGTGGGTTAAGAGAATCTTTATTAGTCCAACAGTGGGGAAAATTCAGAAATACAGAACGGTAAAAGAATGAGTTGCACACGCGATAAATTCGGTCCCCCAGGGTTCAGAAGACTCGGTCCTCAGGGTTCAGAAGACTCAGTCCCCCAGGGTTCAGAAGACTCGGTCCTCAGGGTTCAGAAGACTCGGTCCCCCAGGGTTCAGAAGACTCGGTCCTCAGGGTTCAGAAGACTCGGCCCTCATGGTTCAGAGGACTCGGTCCTCAGGGTTCAGAAGACTCGGTCCTCAGGGTTCAGAAGACTCGGTCCCCCAGGGTTCAGAAGACTCGGTCTTCAGGGTTCAGAAGACTCGGTCCCCCAGGGTTCAGAAGACTCGGTCCTCAGGGTTCAGAAGGCTCGATCCTCAGGGTTCAGAAGGCTCGGTCCTCAGGGTTCAGAAGGCTCGGTCCTCAGGGTTCAGAAGGCTCGGTCCTCAGGGTTCAGAAGACTCGGTCCTCAGGGTTCAGAAGACTCGGTCCTCAGGGTTCAGAAGACTCGGTTCTCAGGGTTCAGAAGGCTCGGTCCTCAGGGTTCAGAAGACTCGGTCCTCTGGGTTCAGAAGACTCGGTTCTCAGGGTTCAGAAGGCTCGGTCCTCAGGGTTCATAAGGCTCGGTCCTCACGGTTCAGAAGACTCGGTCCTCAGGGTTCAGAAGACTCAGTCCTCAGGGTTCAGAAGACTCGGTCCTCAGGGTTCATAAGGCTCGGTCCTCACGGTTCAGAAGACTCGGTCCTCAGGGTTCAGAAGACTCGGTCCTCAGGGTTTAGAAGACTCGGTTCTCAGGGTTCAGAAGACTCGGTCCTCAGGGTTCAGAAGACTCGGTCCTCAGGGTTCAGAAGACTCGGTCCTCACGGTTCAGAAGACTCGGTCCTCAGGGTTCAGAAGACTCGGTCCTCAGGGTTTAGAAGACTCGGTTCTCAGGGTTCAGAAGACTCGGTCCTCAGGGTTCAGAAGACTCGGTCCTCAGGGTTCAGAAGACTCGGTCCTCAGGGTTCAGAAGACTCGGTTCTCAGGGTTCAGAAGGCTCGGTCCTCAGGGTTCAGAAGGCTCGGCCCTCAGGGTTTAGAAGACTCGGTCCTCAGGGTTCAGAAGACTCGGTCCTCAGGGTTCAGAAAACTCGGTCCTCAGGGTTCAGAAGACTCGGTCCTCAGGGTTCAGAAGACTCGGCCCCCCAGGGTTCAGAAGACTCGGTCCTCAGGGTTCAGAAGACTCGGTCCTCAGGGTTCAGAAGACTCGGTCCCCCAGGGTTCAGAAGACTCGGTCCTCAGGGTTCAGAAGACTCGGTTCTCAGGGTTCAGAAGGCTCGGTCCTCAGGGTTCAGAAGACTCGGTCCTCTGGGTTCAGAAGACTCGGTTCTCAGGGTTCAGAAGGCTCGGTCCTCAGGGTTCATAAGGCTCGGTCCTCACGGTTCAGAAGACTCGGTCCTCAGGGTTCAGAAGACTCAGTCCTCAGGGTTCAGAAGACTCGGTCCTCAGGGTTCATAAGGCTCGGTCCTCACGGTTCAGAAGACTCGGTCCTCAGGGTTCAGAAGACTCGGTCCTCAGGGTTTAGAAGACTCGGTCCCCCAGAGTTTGACACGTTGTTCTGAGGTTGGAGTCAGACCAGATTTGACGTCGTGAGATATGAGGGGCGTAGGTCATGAAGGGACTTGTAGGTGACGAGGAGGACCTTATAATGTATGCAGTAGACAGAGAGGGAGACAATGGAGTTGTTTGAGGATGGGGGTGATGTGGTCCCTGGAGCGGGTGTGGGACAGCAGGCAGGCCGCACAGTTCTGGATATATTGCAACATTTATTGTCACAAGTTTAATGAAAAGACGAGAAAGTGTTGCTCAGAAAAGTTAGTTCACGCTCACTGATCTGTCTGCTCCGTCTCCCACTTACTGTAGCTCCTCCCTCTAAGACCATGATGTGTCAATTATACTCATTTATTATCGCCTCATTGTCAAAAAAATCTCAATTGATAATTAACTTTGCATGTGGTTACGTGGTGAACAGGTGGCGGGAGTGCGTGGGATTCAGATTCATACTGAAGGTGAACACTCTTGGTACGTGCTCTTTCAACTACAAGAAAGTTCATGCACTCAGATTCAGATTCATTTATTTGCCATTTGCAGTAAAACCACAGTGGAATACATTTGCAAAAGTCCACAGTGTGCACAAGACAAGTACACATTTAAAACAAGATGAAAAGTACAGAAATAAAACAAACAAACCAGTAAACAATTGAGCTGTGAAATTGATCGTTTCAACACAGGATCATTTAAAGGGGACATCTCATGAAAAATTCACTTTTTGTGTCTTAAATGCCTGATGTTGTGAAGTTGGAGCCTCTAGAAGTGCAAAAAAGTTTAAATCAGTCTCTTCATGGGTTGCAGAGAACACTTCATATTCTGTTTAGGTAAGATTTTTCAACCCGTTCTGATTTGGCCATTCTCTATTACGTGTTTAGAATTATTACGTCACAGTATTTGCAGCGAGACTGCTATATAAGGGCATGGGCGTCTAACAAAACACTTCGGCCCAGCCCTCCTCTACTGTGCATCACTTCGAATTTGTAGTCCAAGGTCAAGGATGCCAACGAACAGGGCTGGACTGGCCATCAGGCGTACCGGGCAATGCCCAAAGGGCCGATGCCCATATTTGGGCCGGTCTGTCTGCCTCATACAAAACACATGTTTATGAGAAGTGTAAATCCGTTGAGAATTTTTTGAGCGGGGCGCGCATATCCGCGGGGCACCTGCTGTATGTACTCGAACGGGATTTCGCCACCTCAGCGGCCGCAGTGTTCCGGGGCATCTGCGGCCGCTTAGTAATGAGCAGCTGCCGCGTCCAGCGGCTGCGAGAGGCTGTGAGCGTCCAGCCGCTCCACCGTGTTGTGGCTGAGCGCGCAGCCTCAACGTGGCCATGTACCCAACCCCATAAACGCGCACAAGACCATGCGTGTCTTTGAGTAATCTGTGCACCCAACAAATACACTGCTGCAGGAAACAGTCCGCTTCTCCCCTCTCCTCTCGAAGCGCGATTAAACACCCTAAATAAAGCTCTGATACCTACATTTGGCATTGCATTAAAAGTTCATGTCTGAGCCCAAAAGTAATATGTTGTGAACAAATTAAACAGATTTAGAGCCAGCAAATGACTGACAATATGCATTTCAGTCTTTTTTGACAAATTCTCATCCCTGTAACAAACAATAGTGTTGTCTGTGTCCACCTCCCTCACTCTGAGACATGTTTATTACTCTCTTGTAATGTAGACTATTGCATTTTATTTTATTGTTGAAACTGCACATATCCTGATCCTCTACAGTATTTGCTTCCACATACTGTATAAACTAGGAGTCGGCAACCTGCTGCTCCGGAGGCGCATGCGTCTCTTTCCTTCTGTAGAAGGAAAAACGTTCTTAACGTTTTTAAATGCTGTAAAATTATGCATGAGTAATATTCAATTAAAAAATTTCTGTCAACGTAGTGCGTCATATCCTGCGACGTAGGCCCACGCCAGGCGGCCGCTGTTGTAAGCAAACCGGCGTGTGAGCATCATAGACTGTGCGCATGGATCCCAAAGCTAAAAAGAGAAGAGTCGATAATAAGACTGGACTATGAATGAAAATTAACATTTGCTTTCAGTCAATGAGGAAGGTCTGCTTCATGTTTGCGATGTAATGAGAAGTTTCTATGAGATAATTGTATCTGTGCTTAGAAACTACAAAAATGGCCGCTCGGGGTGGAGTTGAACCTGTGTCACCTGAATGGGGGCGTGGTCAAAAGCGCCTCATTTGCATTTAAAGAGATAGCACCAAAACAGGTTGCTCTCAGACGCACCTCAGAACAGGTGTAGAAGAAAGGCCCGTGGAGCTACAAATAATGAGACTCAGACCCAGGCATTGCAGTTACGCTTTATATAGGCCACAAATTAATGATTTAGATGTAAAAATCAATTATTTGAAAACACGATATGTCCACTTTAAGTGCTCTGCCCAAAGACACTTAACCCCACTTTGCCTGAAGCCCCCACTGAAAGATCTCAGCTCCTGTGGACTCACCACCTGCAGGAGGATCAGTGAGGGGCTGGTGCTCTGTGACTGGGTGCAGCTCTGACTGCCACCCCCCCGACCCAGAAATGGATTAAGGGGAAGAAAATGGATGGATGGATGGACGATATGTCCACTTTAAGTGCTCTGTTTAAACTGAAAACATCTTGTGCAAAGGAGCTGTTAGCATGTTAGCATATCGAGCTGTCCTGCTTCTCTGTGAATGATATCTTCTGCCAGAGGGAAGAAGCTGGAACATGGCTTTTCCAGGGTGGCCAGAAGAGTCATTGATTGATTTTAGCAGATAAATGAGACCTCTGACCTCCAACATGGTCCAATAATAACACCTGCTTATCTTAAAAAACTGTGATTTTAGTTAATTTTCTGCGCATTTGGACATATGCCGCTTGTTGTTTTGAGCCAATACTCTGGGTTTAAAGGATGTGAGTCGTAAAAAAATGGAGTACGGAGATGTAGCATAAATCTCCCCACCACAATACTCACTGCAGATATTCAGTCGGAGCCAAAATGGCAGTGGAACCTGCTGGAGCAAGGACTACAGCGCCTTCATTCACCTGCTGCTCTGTGCGACTGTGTTTTCTGTGGGCCGCAGTGGTGTGCAGAGGAATGCTGAGCCCAACCACAAATGGAGCCGAGACACAGCCAGACGACATAAAACTCAATGGGCCAGTTCCTGCTCTTTCTCTTCCTCTGTCTGCTTCTACGCTTGTGTTTGGGCCCACTTCCCAAAGTCCATCTCTCGACTCTGCCTCTCTGCCATCGGCCCTTTTTGATGATCCTCGATTAGCACGTGCAAAGCTAATAGCGTCCGGTTTCAAATGTTTAAAATAATGATTTCCTCGAAGTACCTCACATATTGTAAATGGTTTGACATAATAATGGCTGCAGATGCAAGAAATTAGCAAACACTCTTCACACTAATGTAAAGACTGGATTCTTCAGGCTTCTCTCTCCTTCTCTTTTGTGAATACTTTTGTTTATCAATGTTTGTTACATTTTAGTAGAAGTAGCTTCACTCAAATTAGTAATTAAGTAAATAAGTACCTCACGTATTAAATGCTAACCACATGAAAACAAGTCTGGCCCTCCACCTGGTACTGATCTGGTCCGGTGTCTGGTCCGGTCTCCGATCTAGTGTCTGGTCCGGTGTCTGGTCCGGTCTCCGATCTAGTGTCTGGTCCAGTGTCTGGTCCGTATGATCCGGTCACCGGTTTGGTGTCTGGTCTAGAGTCTGGTCCAATGTCTGGTCCAGTTTCTAGTCCAGTTTCTGGTCCAGTGTCTGGTCCGGTCTCTGGTCCGGTCTGCGGTCCGGTCTCTGGTACGGTCTCTGGTCCGGTCTGCGGTCCGGTCTCTGGTCCGGTCTCTGGTCCGGTCTCTGGTCCGGTCTCTGGTCCAGTCCCTGGTCCAGTCCCTGGTCTGGTCTCTGGTCTGGTCTCTGGTCTGGTCTCTGGTCTTGTCTTTGGTCCGGTCTGTGGTCCGGTCTGCGGTCCGGTCTCTGGTCTGGTCTCTGGTCCGGTCTCTGGTCCAGTCCCTGGTCCAGTCCCTGGTCTGGTCTCTGGTCTGGTCTCTGGTCTTGTCTTTGGTCCGGTCTGTGGTCCGGTCTGCTTTCCGGTCTCTGGTCCGGTCTGTGGTCCGGTCTCTGGTCCGGTCTCTGGTCCGGTCTCTGGTCCAGAGCTCCACCCTGACCCACCCAGACTGCAGCCCTCGCCCTGCGGTGCCCTGTGATAAATGAGAGCTTTCACACCGGCGTTTGTCCTGGCCTCAGAGCGGGGAAACTGTGGACACGACAGACTGAGACCGGACCAGACCCTGGAATACAGATATGGACCGAGTTTGGGTGGAAACTTAGACTGAAAAAAACATACACTAATAAACAAAAGTGTAAATGGTGTCTGCCCAAGAGCATGTATTAGTGTCATGTATTGCATTTATGAATTATATAATGATTCAGAATGTCGTACTATTTTCTAGTTTTATAAAGATCAATTGTTTGAAGTTTGAGGAATCCTGCATTATTAGCAACTCTGAATTCAGGATCCAATAACTATTTAATAACTTATTTGAATAATAATTATTTCTTACAGGCCTTACAATAACTGAACATTCTCTCTATATCCGAAAAACTCAAATCCAGCTGATACAATGTGAACCTGTCAAATATGTTTATAGAGTGAAAGGACTTGTAATGAGATTAATCAATCATTGGACATTAGTAAAGCAGCCGAGGTTTACCAAAGTGCTGCACAGACAAGAGTAAAGAACGAGGAGGTGGGTCCAGGGGGATGGCTTGGTGTTTCAGCGGGGGCTTCAGGAAAAGTGGGGTTAAGTGTTTTGCCCCGGGACGACAGCAGACATCAGTGGAAGCAGATGGTGGGGGTCGTGTTGGGATCGAACCCTTGACCATTAGGTCCAAAGCTTGGCACTGTCGCCCCACATGGTACTGCCCGGTGTATGAACAGATGTATATTTGACGTCATGGACAGTGCTGTGTTCTCCTGTGGTTGTAAAGTATGTTGTGATGTCTAAACTAGCACTCTCGCTTCTCTGCAAGACGGTCCTGGGTTCGAATCCCGGTCGGAACAGAGTTTGCATGTTTGCAGGTTTATTCCGTATGCTCCGGTTTCCGCTACCACTAAAAAAATGCACAATAGATCTGGCATGAGCTTTCTGTCGATGACCCCGCCCTCTGTGTGGAGTGACAGACAAATGTACAGCTGTAAAGTGCTTTGTGACTCTGGTCTGTGAAAGACGCTATATGAATAAATATAACTAACTTAAGGAACTCTAACCCTTATGGCAGGGGCCCTCCAACCTGAAGCTCGGGAGCCACCAGTAGCTCGCCAGTCCCTTACAGATAGCTCGCCAAAGAAATTAGAATTCAAACGAACTTAAACGAATACTTTTTGACCCATTACATATCCATTATAAGTATAAATATAGGGTTATACAGTATTATGGTGTATCTTTTATGTGTTCTCCAAGTTTGGTAGTAATTATTAGACCGATTTTTATTACGACTGCAAAAAGGAGTAGCTCTCTGCCTGCTTGTTTGTATAAAAGTAGCTCTCCAATTAAAAAAGGTTGGAGACCCCTGCCTTTTGGCACCTCGGAGAAAACCCCCACTCTTCCATATGTCTCCAATTGTACTTTTTTAGAACTGAATGCAGCTCATTCTGACTGGCGTTGATGATCCGGCGTTTAGTCTCAGCACAAGTCCGTCGTTATTAGAAAGTCTGTGTTGTTTGTTCTCCACTGCACACGTTGTACACAGCCGTTGTCATAGCGACCAATGTTGCTCGCACACAGATCAATACGGAGCCGTGGAACATATGATGGCGAGTGCGGTCCACAGCCCCTGACGTCCAGCCGACTAACACTAAATGGCTCCATACAATTGTGAGTCTTAAAGAATTAAATACAAGACCTCATATTAACCACATATTCCAATCAAGTTAGCATAATATTTATACGTTAGCCCTCCATTGACGCGGACACTGCTTGTTTAACATTTCCAGACTGGAGAAACAGGACTGTTGGATTTATGAAAATGACCCACAAATAGGCCTCGCAAACCTGGGGACTAGTTGTGGTTTTCCTTGCATTTACCCGTTTCTGGTCTCGAGCGTTTCATATTATTACTTAGAATAAATGTCCGCAAATGATGGAGTAGCTTTTTCCAGCTTTCCCACCCTTGTTGAGCAGCCCAGCATAATAACACAGAAATGAAAGCACTTTTGCCATCAGTCTGCGCCGGTGTCGCGGCTGCAAACCGACTGTGACACTTCTTGGTGACCGTGGGTGGGAACCATCGAGGGAAACCTGGCAGTTCAGCTAATCACCAGCATTTGGGGCTTAATATGGTTTTTAGCACTGATTCCATGGCTCTGTATGTATTTTTCTCACATGTTGAACCCTCACCTGTCACTGCTGCGCTTTAAACCGACATTTTTTCACTTTCGGAAATAGGAAACGCCATGTACACTGCAAAACATGATGAAATATTGGAGAATAGAGGCGTGATTTTTAAATGATTTTATTTAAAGATGGCAGACATGTTTATACATTTAGATATTTAAATGTGTTACTTTTATCGGTCTAGCACTTTGGAAATGTGTTTTATAAAATGTGCAATATGAATGAAGTGGATTGGATTGAATAAAGTCGTTTTTCGTACATTCTGACTTAAAACCATTTAGTATTTTTGTATATATTATTTACTGTTTATTTGGTTGGGACAGTACATGTTCATGAACAGATTACTCCGGATCGTAGCGTTGGGCTAACTTGCATCCGTTGTCCCACATTCACACTCACAAACACACACTCATTCACCCTGAACTATAGCACACATTTTTGGTGGTAGGGGAAACCGGAGCACCCGGAGGAAACCTACACAGACACAGGGAACACATGCAAACTCCACTCAGAAAGGCCCTGTTCTGACTGGGATTCGAACCTTCTTGCTGAGAGGCGAGAGTGCTATCAAATCTTCTTTTATGGCAGTCAGAATGTGCTCAAATTAAGATACATTTAGCGGAATTTGAGAAATATTTGGCTTTTTGTGTTGATCACTTTTTGCAGTTGTACAAAAGTCTGGTCCCAAAGCCAAGTTTCTCACTTCTCTCCCGCTGGGTTTTTGGAGTAGGTTCTCTCTGATGCAGGAGGGTCTGAGGACGGAGGAGATGATCCAGGACCAATGGCTCTATGCGTCTTCAGATTCAGTCAGATTATTCGGCATTTGCAGTAAAACCACATTGGAATACATGCGCAAAAAAGTCCCCAGTGTGCGCCAGACAAGTGCGTGAATAAAACAAGGTAAAAAGTACAGGATTAAAACCATCTAAAGTACGGGAATGTTTTTATCATTGCGTTTCATGTGTTGGAACCATATACTTTCTGATATTTGTAAAGTCCTTCGAGATAATAACTGTGGCAATTTAGGGCTGAAAAAAAATAAATATAGCCCTAAATATCGGTCAAAATCACAAAGTCTCTAAAAAATACTCAGGGAATCCTTCAGAATCAGGAGTCACTCTGTCAAAAACATTTCAGACCCGTGATTTTTCTTCACACATTTTCTCCACACAACAGTTTTTGTGGGAAATAGTCACAGCTAAAGTTTTTTTTTTGCCCTGGTGTTTTATTCCCAGACTATTATTCCTGGGCTAAAGCAGCAGCTGGGGCCATCCAAGGGGCCACAGACGACCAACCCCAGAGTGACACCAACTCCGCGACAGACTCTATTACACACAATTACCGGGATCTCGCAGAAACTACAGCCCATAATGTGGTGTCCATTTACCCCCATCTTATACACACTGACAGCGAGGTGTAAAAATGTCAGGAAATGCCATTAAACCACGACTCTGTTTGGCAAAGTCTTCCATCTTCTGCTGCCGGACGGATCTGCTTTCAGCCCAAAGGAATGGAAAGGACTCAGAGAGAAATGAGCAGGAGTTATGATTGTCCTACGGGTCTAAGGACAGCGGCGATGATCCAGGACACGTTCAATGACGACAGCACAAGCACTTTGTTTAGCCAAGTGCAATGTACTTCTTCATCTGTACCACACAAGCACTTTGTTTAGGCAAGTGCAATGTACCTCTTAATCTGTACCACACAAGCACTTTGTTTAGGCAAGTGCAATGTACCTCTTAATCTGTACCACACAAGCACTTTGTTTAGGCAAGTGCAATGTAGGACTCTGTTCAAAGACACGCTGCAAAGCTGAATATTGGAGAAGAGCTTCACACAAGAAGCGGCTAGCATAACTCTGTTAGCATCAGAGCCGGCCGGCTACTTCCGGCACTTTCAGCGCTGGTCAGGACGTTCTAATGTGAAGTCCTCTGTGTCTGAAAACTAGAGAATGCGCGTCTGGTGAGCGGGGCTTCAGCGTTTCAGCGTTGGCGGTGTGAAAGCCCCATTAGACCCCGGCAGAGAACTGCACGACTGCAGAGGGGGAAAGGGAAAGTGAGATGAAATATGTATGTTTGTAACTCGCACTTTTCAAACTGTATTCTATTATGTATGTTTTATGATTGTGTCGTAAGGGCTACAGATGGAAAGTCACCTGGTGCTAAATCGGTGTAGCATCTTTTTAATGTAACTGCACATTGTCCTTAATAAACTAAACTCAACAACTTGTGTGTCCAGTGCTTTCAGTGAGAGAGCCACTGAAGTTCACCCGAATGGTTCAGGGGCCAACAACAACCCAGACTGAGAATTTTTTTTTAACTTTCTTACAGCATCATTAGTGCTAAACATTCAAAACAAGCCATAGCTGAGTCTGTGTTGGCGGAGCTGAAGTTGGCTGGATGCTGTCCAGTGGATACTTTGGGTTAACAAGGCACAGGGCCACATACCACGACACAGAGGGCCTCAGCTTAGGCCTGATCTACGACAGCCTAATGATAACAATTGTTAATATTGTGGTATGACCAAATGTGAAACCTCTGCAGTAATAAAAGTCTCTGATGCCGAAACATTCTTTGCTGCATGTTCTTGAGAGAAAATCTATGTTACAAATATTTTACTGAATCTACTGTTCAGCCCACACAGTTTTTCCAGTGGTTTTTGGCCTTGGCAGACCTTTCCCCAACGCTGCTCAATGCCAGGGTCCAGGCCAGGGTCCAGGCCAGGGTCCATGCCAGGGTCCAGGCCAGGGTCCAGGCCAGGGTCCAGGCTGGGTCCAGGCCAGGGTCCAGGCCAGGGTCGAGGCCAGGGTCCAGGCCAGGGTCCAGGGCAGGGCCCAGGCCAGGGTCCAGGCCAGGGTCCAGGCCAGGGTCCAGGGCAGGGCCCAGGCCAGGGTCCAGGCCAGGGTCCAGGCCAGGGTCCATGCCAAGGTCCAGGCCAGGGTCCATGCCAGGGTCCAGACCAGGGTCCAGACCAGGGTCCAGGCCAGGGTCCAGGCTAGGTCTAACATGAGAAAGTGATGTGCATAATTTGTTATATATGCTTTGCTCAAAATCTGAAACATAAACAGAGTAAAAGCTGCTCCAGAACCACCAAGAAAAACAGTCCTGTGCAAATCCAGCTTCTTGCAACTGATTAGAAAACTCATGCATTTTGGAGTTAATGGTGTTTTTCCCATATTTTATACTCAACATGTCAAAGCAGTTACATGCTTTCCATAAACACCTTGAGACAAGCTGGAAAAAAAGATTGTGGTTTGTGAAAGTGTGGTAAAAATGGTTCCAGTAACAGGAGTGTGTTGGGAAATGTAAGATTCACTGAGCAACATGCAGAGCCAAACAATCACGTTCAACTTGTAAGACTTTCTATAAAAGCAGAGATTTAAACACATACAGTATGAGCAACTATTCGTCAGAGTAAAATATCAGTTTAGTTTGAATTTTGTAATCTGTCAAAATACCGTATCCAAGTCGAGTTGTGAATTCTGTATCGTGGAAAAGAAGCAGTGAAAAGATTCCTCCTGAACTCAACGTCAAAGGAAATGTTTATTTTGTGTGTAGTTGACATTGTTCCCCCTCGTGCTCAGTCTCAGAGGGTGTTTGCTTTATGGATCCAAAAAACAGGAAGTACTTTATAAGTAATTGTTCTGGATTCAGACCTTCAGGACTGTGTGGCTCACCTTTTCACAATTCTATTTTATGTATTCTTGTAGCCCTCAGAATCAGAATCATTTTTATTGACGTAAGTAACATAAAGTCACAGAAACTGCTTTGGCTCTCGGTGCAAACAAGTCAAAGGTAGAGAAGAAAAGAAAAGAGTTAGGCTTCATAAGAATCTACATAAAATACTAAAATATTAATTTAATCTAAATGTTAATGTAAATATTACAATGATTAGTTTGTGTAAGCTCTCAGTCGAACAGGGATCAGTTAAAGCAAAGGAAGGTTTCTCACCATCATCTGTACTTCTCAGCAGATTTTCCCGACCTTTCGTCCTTCATCCTTCAAGGACTTTTTCAAGGGAATGAAATGTATAACCTATGGGTGTGGTTGGCCACACCCTAATCCTGATGCTAACTCTTTAACGAACTAAGGTCTGATTGAATTTACAACGATTACTATACAAGTACACTCGGTGCACATGATAGACATTAAGCAGTGCAGTAAAGTGACTTTATAAACATGTTCAAAGTCCAAAAGCAGAGAGGAAGAAACTGTTCTTTTGGCGGGAGGTTCTGGTCTGACTGGACCGTAGCCCCCTGTCTGAGGGGAGGGGTTGGAACGGTCCATGTGCAGGTGAGAGGGGTCGGCTGTGATATGACCAATATCAACAATAGTTATTTCAGAGGACTTCACAAAGCTGTCATTCTCCATCACAGATCAGAGAATCAAACAATTCAAACAAAGAAGTACATAGATGGACAACACATTGGTGTTGGTCCTTAGGGGGCAGAGACCAATGTCTACAAATGTTTTTGAATATTGAGCAGTCACATGACTCACAAGACTAACAGACCCTCCTGCATCAGCGAGGAATACTCTAAACCCAGTGGGAAAAAGTGAGAAATCTCAGGGAAGGCTGTTTTTAGTTTTTAGAGTTGTTCCTCTCTGATGCAGAGGGTCTAAGGGCAGTGATGATCCAGGACACTCCACATTCAGCCACATTTATGGACATTGATGATCCAGGACACTCCACATTCAGCCACATTTATGGACATTGATGATCCAGGACACTCCACATTCAGCCACATTTATGGACATTGGTGATCCAGGACCCTCCACATTCAGCCACATTTATGGACATTGATGATCCAGCACACTCCACATTCAGCCACATTTATGGACATTGGCCTCTGCTCCTCATTGAGCCCATCACATCCCGTCTATACATTTATTTACATAATCAAGCGTCATTGAAACCACATAAAATCCAAGTTGAAATCATTAACACAGAGAAGTCTGGACACACTGAGGTTGTCCAGTGGTGGTTGTACCTGACCCAGAGGTAGAAGTGTGTTTTTCTTCATGTAGAGTCCGACTTCAGGCCCCATTTAGAGCGAGAGTCGGGGCAGACGTGGCAGGCCCTGCAGACCGCGGCCGCACTCCCCTCTGTCTCGTTCTGACACACGATTAGCCTTAGATTTGGAGGGATTTTCATTTGCTGACCGAAAGAATAACTCAAATACCTCAGAGTCTGCTGCGCCGCTGCACAAACATAGTTAGAGCTCAGAGATGGTGCTCCGGGATTGGACAGAAGCAGAACTCCAAACAGGCCTGGCCAATCAGAGGAGGGCAGAGTATCGTGAGGATCCGTGAGTGATTTGTCGGAGTTTGTCTTGTTTTACTTTGGAGCTGCTTCTGAGTGCCCTGAACCATGAACACAAACAGGAAACTTTAGTATTTCTGTGAAAATAAACGTTAGATTACAGTGAACTAAAAAAAACTAAAGCGGGACACAGGAGAGATGTCCCTGGAACAGCCCTGCCCCCAGGAAACAGCCTCCCATAGTATCCTTTTTACTGCACCGCTTTAGACACGTGGCTGGTGCTGTGTGTACTGGGTGGTATCTCTGGCTGCCACCCCCGACCCAGAAATGGATTAAGGGGAAGAAACTGGATGGACGGATGGCACTTTAGACACACAAAGGAGCAATAAGGGTGATCGGTGGAGATATCAAATTGCTATAATAACGCTTGCACCCATACGCACACACACACACGCACACCACGGCACACACACACACACACACACACACACCACGGCACACACACACACGCACACACACACACTGTATCTTGTCTGTCTTATTGTATCTGTAAATATTTAGAGATACAATAGTCATTTTGTCGCTTGATAATCAATTTCTCAGTTGACAAAGTTTATTTTTTTAGCACATTTCACACAGGACAACTCAATCATTTTCAATGTCATTCATTTTATTTAGTACCAAATAAAGAGGTCGCAGGAAACAAAAATATATAAATGTTATCCCTCTACCTCCCACCCTCCTGCCTCCCCCCTCCCCCCACCCCCTGAGTTATCCTTCTGCAGGTTCGACAGTATTTGTATCTTCACATACTCACACATATGTTTGTCCTTTTTAAGTTCTGGAAAAGAGGAGAAAAAATACTGTAAATCTTAATCAAATCAAATATCATGCAGTGACATCATCATATACTGTATACAAGCTCTCTGTAGATATAAAGGTGCTTTGAGGATTGGGTGGCTGCTCTGATTGCCCCCAGAAATGAGGGATGATGATAAAGGGGATGAATATGAATGAATGAATATAAAGTTCAAAGTAACATCGGTGCATCCAGGGCCTCCTCCGTCACTGCTCCGTGTCTCTGTGACTCTTTGACTCCGTGTCTCCGTGTCTCTGTGACTCCCGGGACGTGGAGAGAGAGAGGTCGATCACCCGCCATCGCTCTCCTCGGCTTTGGGCTCCTGCAAACTCCACTTCCCGTCTCCTCATCGCCGTGACAACAGACCAAACAGGGCCAGGGCACAACCCGCCAAACAGCCTCCCGCTCTGTGACATCATAGCGGCCTTCTCACGGCACTTTCCAAAACGTCAAAAGGATTAATGCTCGTCTCTGTCACGCGACGGCGGACGAGGAAATACGGCCACCTTAAAACAATATTTTTAATACTAGCGGCTCATCAGAACGGAGGTTTGTCATTCACAAAGTCGTGCCAGACAGATCCAATGTGTGAGTCTGTATGTGTTTTTATATGGGGAAATCATAACCACAGCCACACTGCAAAAAATGATAAATTATGAGGTAATAATTGGTTGAATAAAGGGGATTTTGTCTTATTTACAGTTAGTTCTGACTGTGCTAAAACTAGATTCTCCAATGGGACTAAGCCATTTAGGGAGACATTTCTTGTGCATTTCTCTGACTTATTTTTGATCACTGCAATTTCCTTATATGGGCCTTTGTTCCTGTGGCGTTGGCTGGCGTGTTGCTAAGACAAGCTGGAGCTTTCCCTGTGAATGGTATAATTTCTTTTTTACAAGAACAGTATACAATAAACATTAGCCAAAAGGAGAGATATATTTTGCTCCTGGTTAGAGCAGCAGTGCTAATTTACACCCATAGTCCCTGAGGAGACATCTCATTGGTCAATCCTTATATGGCACAAGGCTGTCAATGTAAGTCGTTAGGCGCCAGATCAAGATGGAGCAAAACTTCTTCCATGAGTACTTTCAATCTATTTGTGAAAATCCCTAAATCGCACTGATAATTATCTCTGTGAACTTTACAAGCCGTCACCTTTCCAACACAATCAGAGAATCAAACCGTTCAAACACAGAAAATGCAACGATAAAAACCACATAGATCCATAGGTCCATAAGAGACAGAGACCAGTGAGAGGCACCGGGCTCTTGACTGTGCAGTGATGGGCCCTTAAGTAGCAATATGTAAGATTTTCATGTCAAGTCATCATTAAGGGCCCTAATCTGTGATCATTAAAGGGCCCTAATCTGTGATCATTAAAGGGCCCTAATCTGTGATCATTAAAGGGCCCTAATCTGTCATCATTAAAGGGCCCTAATCTGTCATCAGTAAAGGGCCCTAATCTGTGATCATTAAAGGGCCCTAATCTGTCATCATTAAAGGGCCCTAATCTGTCATCAGTAAAGGGCCCTAATCTGTGATCATTAAAGGGCCCTATTCTGTGATCAGTAAAGGGCCCTAATCTGTGATCATTAAAGGGCCCTAATCTGTGATCATTAAAGGGCCCTAATCTGTCATCATTAAAGGGCCCTAATCTGTCATCATTAAAGGGCCCTAATCTGTCATCAAAGGACTGGGTTGGCGTCGCTGGCACCGTCCTAAATTGGTTTAGGTCTTACCTTGAGGACAGGAACTTTGTGGAGATTGGAAACTGTGTCTCAGATCATATGGCCCTGACCTGTGGAGTACCACAGGGGTCGATCCTGGGACCTCTTCTGTTCAATCTCTACATGCTGTCGTTAGGTCAGTTAATACGCAGAAACGAAGTTTCCTATCACAACTATGCAGACGACACTCAGATCTATGTCTCACTGACTGCAGGAGAACATGGACCAGTGGACTCACTCCTTCACTGTATCCAACAGATCAGTGAGTGGATGCAAAACAACTTCCTTCAGCTAAACGCAGACAAAACTGAAATGATTGTCTTTGGTCCCCAGAAACAAAGAGAGAGCGTCATCTGTCACCTACAGTCTCTCTCCCTAAAACCTTCAAACAAGGTCAGAAATCTAGGGGTAATACTTAACTCAGACTTAAATTTTAATAGCCACCTCAAATCAGTAACATCAGCAGCTTTTTACCATCTAAAAAACATTGCCAGGATCAAAAACATAGTGTCTAAAGCAGACCTGGAGATTCTTATCCATGCATTTGTCTCCAGTAGGTTAGACTACTGCAATGGCCTGCTCACAGGTCTGTCCAAACAGGCTGTAAAACAGCTGCAGTACATTCAAAATGCAGCAGCTCGAGTCCTGACTAGAACCAGGAAGTACGACCACATTAGTCCAGTCCTCAGGTCTCTGCACTGGCTTCCTGTGGCTCAGAGAATAGACTTTAAAACAGCTCTGCTTGTTACAAGTCTCTTCATGGCCTCGCACCAAAATATATTAGTGACATGTTAGTCCCATATGAACCAGCCCGGACTGTGAGGAGCACAGGGACTGGACTCCTGTTAGTGCCCAGAGTCAGAACTAAACATGGGGAGGCTGCTTTTCAGATTCATGCTGCTAAAATCTGGAACAGTCTTCCTGAAGATGTGAGACAGGCCTCCTCAATGACAATGTTTAAAACCAGGTTAAAGACGGTTCTGTTTAGCTGTGCATACAACTGAGGGATTTTATATATATGAAGAGTTTGGTTCCAAAACGCGATAAACGCCATTTTTAAAAAAAATGAGTTGGCGCCAAAATCTGAAGTGTATTTGGCCACTGTTGATAACTCCATATTCAGTTTTCTGCAAAACGCGAAATTTGCCGTTTTATTCCGTCCTGCTTTCTCCCATTCTTTCCAAACAGCGATAAACGCCAATCCACCTTTTCCGCAGAACACGACAAATCCACTCGACCAATCACAGCGTAGCATTCCACGTCTAACAAACAACTATGGCGGCGCCCTGAAAAGAGCCGGTATCAGAGATTACTTTGCAATATACAGCGGAAATAAACGACAATGAATAATCGATGAGCCTGTGGTGATTTCTGCTATTGGTAGGAAACGTAAACCGTCTAAAGACAATCACAGCCGTGAGACTATTAAGAAGATGAAGCACTCAGGAGGGGGGAAAATGCCGGCTGTCATCTGTAAACACACCAAAGACTCAAACTTCTGTAACGCTGACACATTGACACCAGGCGATATACAGAGAAACTTTGACATTTTTTACGATGACCCAACGAAAATCAAGCAAGACCAAGCAATGTTGCAACTTATTACCGTAAAAATAGTCCAACGGAGACGTCCGAAAGTTGACGAAACCGGCAGTCGAAAGAATAGGGATGTCACGACGCAATATTATTTACTGACTGAAGACCATCCCCGGAAGATTCCAGTCTGCAAGGCCACCTTTTGCAGCGTATTGGGTGAGTTCAATTTTGTTTTAATAGCCTATATAACAAGTAGTTTATTGAAGATTTAGTGGTGCCTGCCTGCTCGTATTGTATCATTGGTAACGCTCCTTTCTATAGCAGGGAGAACAGTGAAGCTTACTAAGCAGCGATGTCACATTTAAATGTCTAGATCAGGGCTCGGGAACCCAAAAGGTTCAAAGAGCCATATTTGACAAAAAAACAAAAACAACATCCGTCTGGAGCCGCAAAAAATAACAGCCTTATAAGGCTTATATGAAGGTAACACAGGCTGAAGCTGTATTAGCTATATTAGCCTAATATCTAAATGACAAAGGCTACAAATACATAATAAGCATTCATGATTATCAAATGAGTATTACAGCAGCGTGTCGCACCACGTGAAAACTCTGCTTTAAGTTTAACTTCCATTTTTTTGCCTTCATGCAATTGTCAAAATACAGTAAATAAATCTGCTTTTTGGCTCAGAGTTCACTTACCTGCATTACTGTCTGCTCATATCGATCACGTCATAGGCTGAAGTTTCCTGGAGCTGAATAAATGTCCTTAATGGCCTTTTCTTTCATCGTCTTTGCGAAGGTTTTTGAAGTCAAAAAATAGGTGCTCTGAGTTTTTGATGAATGAATCCTTCACGTATTCACCGTGAACTGTGTTTTTGCGCTTCATTGTTCCTCGTGTTGCAACAAAACCTCTCATTACAAACATGAAGCAGTCCTTCCTCATTGACTGAAAGCAAATGTTCATTCTTATTCTTGGTCTAGTCTTATCATCGACTCTTTCTCTTTTTAGCTTTGGGATCCGTGCGCACTTACAGTCTATGATGCACACACGCCGGTTTGTTTACAGCCGCGGCCGCATGGGGCGGGGCCGCGTCACAGGATATGACGCGCACTACGTTGACAGAAATGTTGAAATTGAATATTACTTATGCACATTTTTACAGCATTTAAAAATGTTAGAATGCTTTTCCTCCAACAGATAACACATTCAAACTCGAAATAATATATGGCAGCAGCTTAATTCACAACACGTACTTTTAAGGTAGCCTGGCATGTATCAAAGTGCAAGTGAGACAGGTCTGTCCTATCTATAGACTGTCCTATTCATGAATTCACATTCAGCATTAGCATGCATCCAGGTTATAAAGCATTATTTGATGCAATTTCCTGTGATTTTTAAAGAACGCTGAGCTTCTCCTGTAGTTTTAATGGTTTAAGTTTGTTTAATTTATTTACCTCCAAAATTCACCACTGATTGACTACCATTTAAGTGTCTGAGATGTACGCATAACTATACATAACTTGATAAAATAATCAAATAAGTAAATGCATAATTAAACAAATAAATAGATACAATACAAATAATAATAAATAAATACAAACACACATGTATAAATTAATACCATATAGGCAAAAAATAATAATGTTCTTATCTTGCAGGTATTGGCAAAGATCGCGTGGCTCGAGTGGCAAAGTATTATGCAGTCCATGCTACAGCCAGACCAGAACACAGAGGTGGTGCACGTAAAGTGGATGAAAATGAGTTGAAGAAACAACTTGTAAAGGATCACATCCAAACCTTTACATGCAGGGCTAGCCATTATGGGAGAAGGGGAGCACCTGGTCGCAAGTACCTGCCCAGTGACCTCAGTGTGACAAAAATGCACAAACTATTCGACCAGCAAAATCACAATCTTGTGAGCTACTTCCTTTATTACTCCGTTTTCCGACATCAGTTCAATTTAGGATTTGGCCATCCAGCTACCGATGCCTGTTCATCATGCGTTAAATTTCACCACCGAGTTAAGGACCCTAGCTTATCTGACGATGAAAAACGTAGGGAGTCAGCAACATACATTTTACATAGAAGAAGATAACGAGTTTTTTATGATCTGCTGGGTAAAGTAGACCACGATGCGGTGACGGTCTGCTTTGACATGATGCAGAACTTGGTGCTACCTAGAACACCCATTGGTCAGGCCTATTATTCTCGGCAGCTCTATATGTATGTATTTGGAGTCGTTGTCCACCATGGGAAGGGCAGTAAACAAGCCATGGAGGATGTCCATCTTTACACCTGGATGGAGCATGAGAACAGGAAAGGGAGCAACATGACTGCTTCTGCCTTGGACCACTGCTTCCGTGAAGAGTTGAGTGGTGCTGTTCACCGCGCCCAAAGGCTGCGACTGTTCAGCGATTCTTGTTTTGGTCAGAACAAAAATATGAACCTGCTAAGCATGCTGTTCGCCTTGATGAAAGCGGAATGTCCCGGGATTGGAGCAGAGTTTGTGTTTCCTATCAGGGGGCACAGTTTTCTGCCTGTGGATCGTGTTTTTGGGAGGATTGAGCAACAGATACGGAGAAAGGACACCATCCTCATGCCAGAGGAGTATTATGAGATCCTGCAAAATCATGGAAAGGTTCATATCTACGGGCAACACTGGCAGGCTTATGATTTCAAGGAGGAGACCAGGGCTTTTGTAAAGGCACAGAAGTCCTTTAAGTTAAGTGAAGCGAGAATGCTGGAGCTGAAAAATGGCAAGGTTGGGTTCAAGGCTGTGTATAACGGTGATTACTGCATACACTCTGTTCTGAAGAGAGGGAAAACCTGGGCAAGCTTCAAGCCAGGTCAACTGGCCAATGAAAGCACAGTGAAGGAAGCAAAGAGAAGAGACGTGCTGAACCTGCTGCGTGAAATTGGTGCGAGCGATGGTGTGCGTGCCTTTTACAGTGATGCACTGTCACAGGTGAATGTTGACAGTGACAGTTATGAAGAATAGGAGAGAGAAAAAAATACCTTTTTGAATGAGATTGCACTGTTTCATTCTTGTATAGTTATGCACAATTGTTTAAAGAAATGTTTTTTTTTTTTTAATCAACGAGATGATTTATAAAATACAATGACATCATAATTAATGTATTGTGTTAAAAAATGCAAAAATGAATTTAACATGGAAGTTTGAATGTAAGAAGAATGGGATTTTGGTTATTTTTTCCATACGTGTTCTTGTTGTTTGTTATGTTTCCACTCTGTTTTTGATTAAATGGGTTGTTTGTGGACCAAAATATTGAATCAGTATTGTTACAGTTCTTAATGTAGATCAACATTTGATGTTTTTTTATTGTACTTTGTGCACAGGTTAAAAAAAAAAAAGTTTGTATTGCTGCAATGGATTTATAGCATTTTGTGAAAAAAAATGCATGCCATGGATTTGTTGCGTTTTGATAAAACAAAAAAGTTTTTTAAAATAAATCTTTAAATATAAAAAATTGATTTGAATTTTTTATGTTATTATAACCTTCTGATGCTATATGAAGATTTGGAACAGAAAATAGTGGTTTTCAACATATCATTTTCTTGCTATAAAACGCAGTTTTACTCAAATTGATCAAAATGGATTTATAGCGTTTTGGAACCAAACTCTTCATATATATATATATATATATATATATATATATATATATATATATATATATATATATATATTTTTTTTTTTTTATGTACTGTGATTATATATGATTTTAATGCTTTCTTGTTTTGTTCAGCACTTTGAGTTGCCTTGTGTATGAATTGTGCTATACAAATCAACTTGCCTTGCCTTGCCATCAGTAAAGGGCCCTAATCTGTGATCATTAAAGGGCCCTAATCTGTCTTCATTAAAGGGCCCTAATCTGTCATCATTAAAGGGCCCTAATCTGTCATCAGTAAAGGGCCCTAATCTGTGATCATTAAAGGGCCCTAATCTGTCATCATTAAAGGGCCCTAATCTGTCATCAGTAAAGGGACCTAATCTGTCATCAGTAAAGGGCCCTAATCTGTCACCAGTAAAGGGCCCTAATCTGTCATCAGTAAAGGCCATAATCTGTCATCATTAAAGGGCCCTAATCTGTCATCAGCAAAGGGCCCTAATCTGTCATCAGTAAAGGCCCCTAATCTGTCATCAGTAAAGGGCCCTAATCTGTCATCATTAAAGGGTCCTGATCTGTCATCAGTAAAGGGCCCTAATCTGTCATCAGTAAAGGCCCCTAATCTGTCATCATTAAAGGGCCCTAATCTGTCATCATTAAAGGGCCCTAATCTGTCATCAGTAAAGGGCCCTAATCTGTCATCAGTAAAGGGCCCTAATCTGTCATCATTAAAGGGCCCTAATCAGTCATCAGTAAAGGGGCCTAATCTGTCATCAGTAAAGGCCCCTAATCTGTCATCAGTAAAGGGCCCTAATCTGTCATCATTAAAGGGCCCTAATCTGTCATCAGTAAAGGGCCCTAATCTGTCATCAGTAAAGGCCCCAAATCTGTCATAATTAAAGGGCCCTAATCTGTCATCATTAAAGGGCCCTAATCTGTCATCAGTAAAGGGCCCTAATCTGTCATCATTAAGTGCCCTAATCTGTCATCAGTAAAGGGCCCTAATCTGTCATCAGTAAAGGGCCCTAATCTGTCATCATTAAAGGGCCCTAATCTGTCATCATTAAAGGGCCCTAATCTGTCATCATTAAAGGGCCCTAATCTGTCATCAGTAAAGGGCCCTATTCTGTCAAAAGGCATTAAAAAAACATGTTATTTTCCAACACTTCTTTAGAGTTTTTCTCAGTCGCTTCGGTGCATTTCTCACATCATTCTTCACATTTGCACAACAGTTTGTTCTCAGAACAATTAGTACAAACTGCAAAACCTCGTGGAAAACCTGCAAAAGTGCATCATCTTCTCAAAATGAAAAGTTAATTCCTCAAAAGCAAGTCTTCATGTCAAAGAAATTGTGTTGTCAAAATAATAAGTCCTGACAACATTGAGTATGAACAACAGTCACATGACTTAGTCATGTTTTCATTGTGAAAGTTTACTCTCTTTGTGTTTTCAGTTTTAAAAAGTCAGATCTCTGAGACACTTGAGCACGACTCTGAGCACATTATACACGACCTGTACATATACATATATATATATGTATATGTATACACGACCTGTGCAGACATTTACAGTAAAACTACAGTAAAGTTACACAAAGACTGTATTTAGAGACGGAACTGACATATGTACTGTATGTACTGTATGTACTGTATGTCTGTGTACTGTATGTATGTGTACTGTATGTACTGTATGTACTGTATGTATATGTATGTACTGTATCAATCAATCAATCAACTTTATTTGTATGGCGCCTTTCCAACACAAGGCCACTCAAAGCGCCTCACAACCCACATAGTATCACACAAATCAGAGACATCAATAAATACATTAAAAACAGAATAAAATCACAAATAATGGAAAAAAAATATATATATATTAAAAGCACACACGGGATTAAAATAATAAATAACCACAATGCATTAAAAAAAAAGAGTATGTATCAATAGAATCCTTCAGCCGTATGCACAGCTAAAAAGAACAGTTTTTAGCCCCGATTTAAAAATTGCCAGAGTAGATGCTAGCCTCACATCTTCAGGAAGATTGTTCCAGATTTTAGCTCCATAAATCTCAAACGCTGCCTCCCCATGTTTAGTTCTGACTCTTGGAACCAGTAAGAGGCTACCTCCTGTGCTCCTCAGAGTCCGGGTCGGTTCATATGGGACTAACAAGTCGCTTAAGTACCCTGGTGCGAGGCCATGGAGAGACTTGTACACAAGCAGTGCTGCTTTGAAGTCTATTCTCTGAGCCACAGGAAGCCAGTGCAGAGACCTGAGAACTGGACTAATGTGGTCATATTTCCTGGTCCTGGTCAGGACTCGAGCTGCAGCATTTTGGACATACTGCAGTTGTTTTACAGCCTGTTTGGAGAGACCTGTGAGCAGGCCATTGCAGTAGTCTAACCTACTGGAGACAAATGCATGGATGAGAATCTCCAGATCTGATTTAGACACTATGTTTCTAATTTTGGCAATGTTTTTCAGATGGTAAAATGCTGCTGATGTTACTGATTTGATATGACTGTTAAAATTTAAGTCTGAGTCCATTATAACTCCTAGGTTTCTGACCTTGCCTACAGGTTCCAGGGAGAGAGACTGGAGGTGACGAATAACGCTCTCTCTTTGTTTCTGAGGACCAAAGACAATCAATTCTGTTTTGTCTGCGTTTAGCTGAAGGAAGTTATTTTGCATCCAATCACTAATCTGTTGAGTACAGTGAAGGAGTGATTCCACTGGTCCATGTTCTCCTGCAGTAAGTGAGACATAAATTTGAGTGTCATCAGCGTAATTGTGGTAGGATACATTGTTGGAGCGTATTAACTGACCTAACGGCAGCATGTAAATATTGAACAGAAGAGGCCCCAGAATTGATCCCTGTGGCACTCCGCAGGTCAGAGCCATATGATCTGAGACACAGTTTCCTATCTGAACCAAGTATTTCCTGTCTTCTAGGTAAGACCTAAACCAACTTAGGGCAGTCCCAGTGACACCCACCCAGTGCTCTAGTCTCTGCAGGAGGATCTCGTGGTCGACTGTGTCGAACGCAGCACTCAGATCCAACATTACTAAAACTGTGACTTTTCCTGTGTCGGTGTTAAGTCGGATGTCATTTGTAACCTTCACTAGTGCAGTCTCAGTGCTGTGATTGGCTCTAAAGCCGGACTGGAGCGCATCAAACGAACTATTAGTTACTAAGAATTCTGTAAGTTGTTGGTAAGCAACTTTTTCCAGAATTTTTCCCATAAACGGCAGATTTGAAATGGGGCGATAATTCTTAAGAACTGTGGCATCTAGACTCCTCTTTTTTAGGAGGGGTCTGATGACTGCCGTTTTCAGGGCCATTGGAAATGTTCCAGATGAGAAAGACATGTTCACTATTTGTGTGAGCAAAGGTAAAAGACTGCTCAAAACAGACTTAAAAAATTTAGTGGGTAGTACATCCAGGCTACATGTGGAGGAACTAAGGCTAGAGACAACATCTTGGACAGTTTCATTATCTGTTGGTGCAAAGTGCGATAGCTCAAACAGCCTCACCGGCTGTTGTAATGTTATTTCTGCCTTGGAGGTGATGGCGTTTTTGATGCTCTGAACCTTGTCATTGAAAAATTGTGCAAACTCATTACATTTAGATTCTGAAGCAAATTCGAATGGCAGCTGAACAGGGGGGTTTGTTAATCCGTTAACTGTTGAAAACATAAGTCGTAGATTATTATTGCAGCCATCAATGGTTTTAGAAAAATAAATTTCTCTTGTTCTACGTAGCACCCTGTTAAACTTGCACAACTCATTTTTGAAGATATCATGATCAACCTGGAGATTGGATTTTCGCCACTTCCGCTCGGCCCTACGGCACTCTCTCTTCTGTACCATGACTGAGTCCATTTTAGTCCAGGGGGCCTTTGGCTTATTTGTAATCATTTTAACCTTCACAGGAGCGATGATGTCCAGAACATTTATAACATTGGCGGTGACAGAGTTAAACAATTCGTCAACAGTAGAACACAATGTGTTCTCAAAGTTTATCATTCCCATGAATAGTTCGGTTGTGTTTTCATTTATGTGTCTGTGTCTGACAATTGCAGATTCAGATATATATGGTTGTTTGCTATCAAAACACATGTCAAAAAATACACAGAAGTGATCTGACAGAGCCACGTCAACCACATTTACATTTAAAATATTAACCCCCTTTGTAACCAGCAGGTCTAGAGTGTGCCCTTTGCTGTGGGTGGGGCCACTCACGTGCTGAGTGAGACCAAATGTTTCAAGTACAGAACTCAGCTCTTTTGCATTTTTGTCATTGCCATTATCCACATGAATATTAAAATCACCTGTAATCACTAAACTATCAAAATCGGTGCAAACAACTGAAAGCA